ACAAAGAGGAGATAGAAATCTAGGCTAGTCTAGTCAGATGTCAATCACATCACATTGTCTTCTATGTAGATTCAGAGAAATTAACATTTCTATGAGAAAGGGAAAATGTCTGCCAGGACATTATATGGGATGCTCTTAAATATGGAATGACCCAGTGTCCCTAATGAAGTCTATCAAGTGCTTGCAATCCTAGATAGAAAGATCTCTTACATCTAAGTTCATAGCAGATTAATTCCTTTTTTTTTTAAAGATAGATTTATTTATTTATTTATTTATTTATTTATTTATTTATTTATTTATTTTTACAAGCACTGGGTACAGTCAGAAGCACGGGAGGATGAGAGAGTTCACCAGAGCCAGAGCAGGAAGCAGAGCAGGTAGAAGGACCGAAGCACACTGCTGAGGGGAGCAGCGGGCGGCAGGAGAGGTCTGCGCGCCATGTGGGATCCTCCTCCCGTGGCCGGGGAGCAGCCGGGGATGGAACCCGCACCGCAGAGGCTGCGGGCAGCTTCGCAACCCAGCGCTCAACCGCTGCGCCACCAGGGAGGCCCCAGATTAATTCCTAATGAAAGTGGGGCTGATAAAGAAAGACAGGATAACACGTGATTGATTATACATATAAAGGAGGCCTTTACTGAGTCCTAAAAATAGCTCTGCTTTTTCATATTCTAGTGTAGACAGGGAAAGGAATAACATATTCTATAGCTGACTTTGGATAGTAACTTTTCTGAGAGTATCAAGATGAAGGAAGGTCTTTTCAATGGAAGAATTGAGGTACAAAATTCATAAGGAAGAAGAGTTGTGTGATTATCATATTATTGTTTATCCTGGTGTTTGGAAAGAAAATTTTGTGAACTAAGTTGTTAAGAAAATGAATCAATTTCTAAATTTTGAAAGTACTAAAAACATAGCAAAGGGAAGTGATGACTTTTCACTGCAGAGTGAAGAATAAAACTTAAGTTAGAATCTTAGACTCAAAGTTCTAGCTCTCTACTCACCAACCATGTGGATGGATAAAGACTATCTGTGTGTTTCAAGTTTCTCAGTTATATTACATTACATAAATGTAGGCATGCTCTTATTTTAGGGGACAAAAATAATTATTTCCCTTCATGATGGGATATATTTTAAACAAAGACAGCATCTTAAAGCATTCTTTATTTGTAAGTGTTCAAGCTCTAAAATAGAATTGAAGCTCTAAGAAGGGCTTTGGAAAGTGATGGCCTATTAAAGAGAAACCAATATGGTGTCCTTGTTATATTTTAGATGGCTCATAAGAGTTTGTGAAAGGCTTCAAATAAGTATCATCTCTTGGTGGTCAGAGAGGGGAGAGGAATCAGGAATGGTCTTTCTTTTTACCTTCTGTAAAGGGATGATGATCTGTATCGACGGCCCTATCAAGTTCAGCTCAATGAGCTCAGTTGTCCTTACTTAGACCCTGGCTCCTCTTCCTGTCTTAGTAGAAAAAAGTGTTAGGCATGCCCAGAAGAGAGTTCTTAGGCCTCCTAAGGAGACAAGCCTTCTTTCCCTTTCAACTGCCTTAACAAATAAATACTATTGAAGGGGAAGCAGCTATCAAGTTTGGTTTTCTCAATACAACTAAACAACTCCTACTATAACAACTGATACCTATTGCCATAATAATTACTCTAACTAGAGTTTATGGGCATTTCCTGGAAAATCTGCTAATGCATTCATTTTATTCTGGCTAAGTATATAACCTCAGGCAAACTGAAAACAGTCTGAGGTATTTTCAACTGCAGAAATCTAAATGTTTAGAGTCTCACATCTAGCAGTTGTGAGGATTAAGGTTGTTGATTGAGAAAAGTTAATGTCTAAGTTGGCTGGAAACTGTCTTTAAGCAGGGGTTAGCAATCTATGGTCTGCAAACTGTTTCTGTAAGGTACCATGAATACCATGAATGGTTTACATGCTTAAATGATGGGGGGCAAAAATCAACAGATTAATATTTTGTGACATGAATATTATGAGAAGTTCAAATTTCAGTGTCCATAAAGTTATACTGGACCACCAACACATTTCTTCATTTATATACTGTGTATAGCAGTTTTTGTGCTACAAAGACAGTGTTGTGTAGGTGAAATATACTGTACGACCTGCAGAGTCTAACAAATTGACTCTGTCCCTTTACTAAAGAACTTTACTGACCCCAGTTCTAGGTGCTAGTGTGAAAGACTAATATACAATCTTTCCTTGGTTGAGAAAAAGCTGCTTTATAGCATTATAAAGGTTAGGTTTGGGGTATAAAATGCCAGGTCTCATTAAATGCTAAAATTCAAGTTATTTGTTTAACAAGTTGTCATTTTTTAAAAGATTTATTTTATTTATTTTTGCATACAAGAACTGGGGTGTAGACCAGAGGTGTGGGGGGTGAGAGGATTGACCAGAGACAGAATAAGGAGCAGAAGAGGCAGATCTACTGAAATACACTGCTGAGGGGGAACAGTGGGTGAGACAGGAGAGGTCAGCTGTCCATGTGGGTTAGCTCCCTGGCAGAGGGTAGAACTCATGCCATAATGACTAGCGATAACTTGATAGCACTAAGACTTTAACCCCTGCGCCACCAGGGAGGCCCTTAACAAGTGACTATGTGGTGGCATTCTGTATTATGTCCTCTGGTGCTGCACCAAAAGACCTGACAAAAGATCTTCTATTTGGACAATTAGAGACTGTGCTTGATATAAAAAAGACTAATGGTGCTGAATTTGATGGAAGATGCCTGCCCCAGGAAGGAAACGGAGATGGGTTCAATGGGTAAACGGAAAGGACTGCTTCAACTATCTGAGTACCAGCTTCTTAAACAACTTCATGTCAAGGTAAGAGAATTTGATGTGAATAAAGGAACAGCATATCCAAAGCAACATAAGGTTTGGATAATGTGGCTTTGCTTCCACAGAATGCCATTACAGTTTTTATTGGGTTTAGCTTTGGATTTGAACCTGACAGCTTGATCTTGTGGTTCTACCAATGTTTACAGATATGGTGGCTGACTGACACGCTTTTCTCAGAGACAAGTTTCTGTCGAAACGAAACAGTTATAGAATCATGCAATTTTCCCAGGTTATGCAAGGTAGAGAGAAAAATTCTCACAATCCTTTCCTCAAGCACAGAGACTGAGTTACCCCTAAGTGAGGGAAATGAGAAATTGAGCTTGCAAGACAAAAAGATATCAGTTTAAGAAAGAAAATGCCCCAAAGAGTTGTAGGCTAGGGGATCCAAGAGAAGGCACTGAAATTTCTGCCATTTAAAAGTAAAGAAGATCCTATAAAGAAAGGAAAAGGGAGCTGCAGATATAGTCTGAAGAAAAAGCACAGATTAAATGCCGAACCCAGTCAGCTGGACACAAGAGAGAAGGGTAGACTAGCAATTCTGGTAACAGAAATACACCACTGTGTCTGTACTGGGAGCTGAACACAGACATGAACCAGCAGGAGGGCTGGCTATTCAGCTAGCTCTCCTTCATAGGGAATATACAGTGCTTACAATGCTCCCCCCCAGTAAAATCAGCTTCAACCCTAGTTCTTTCTAAAGTCTATTTTCAAGATGTTTAGTCAGAGTAACAATGGGGCAAAAATCAGAGTGACTATCAGTCACTAATACAATATTCCTTAATTAATTAGACATATTTAGCTCTCAGTCTTATTTCATTAACTTTGCTTGATAACCAGGGATCCCATCTGAATATAATCTCAGACTTTTCTTTTCCCAATCACTCCTTCAATTTTCATTTCTGTTTATTTTATTATATATTTTGGGGATTTTTAGTGTTTGCATTTAGACCAGTGTCTTTTTTTTTCCTCTCATTTCTTTTTATTCTTCTGAGTCTGAATTCCAGGTGAATTTTTTTGAGTTTGTTTTCTATTTCACCAACTCAGTTTTCGGCAATATCCAATTAACTGTTCACTAACATTTTCAGTTTTAATTTATCAATCTTTTTCTAATGATCATAAACATAATCCTTTCCAATAGAAGTTGCTACTGCTTCATGACTGATTTAGTTCCACATATGCAATGTCATGTGATAGCTGAAATCTTTTTTAGATTCTTATTATAAATATAGTATTTTCTGATTCTTTAGAATCAAACCCCTATTCTCTTGATCTTTAAACATCTTTTTGCTTACGCAGCTACCAGTCCTGGAAAAAACCAACTTCATAGTTTCTTTGTTCCTTTAGTTGTTTGAATTCTAAACTGATTATGTGCTAACCAATAACCCAATCTCCTTAAGACAAATGTTCTGCATTACTCCATTGTTCTCTCAATCCCATATAATAAGCTATTCAGTTTGTGTGATTTTATGTAAGAAATGTTTTCTAAATCTGGTCTGTGTTCTCCAAGTTCACTGTCATTGTGTGCCTTCAGTTGCCTAAGACTCCAAGGACATCTTCCCTATTTCTACCAGTTTCCTAGTATCATTCCCTTGATGAAAAATTTCATTTTATTCTCTATGTTTATAAGTCCAGATAATATGGGTTATCCTGCTAAGTTTTTCATAACCTAATTCCAATCTGCTGACAGCATCTATTGTTTACATACTGACCTCTTACCATTCTTCAGATATACCACCTTTTTAAACTGATATGTGAATATTCTGATTTTACATTTCTTTGAAAGAAGAAAGAGAAGGAAAATAATATACGTAGGGAAAAATTCTATAATTTTCAGTAACCCTACATGATGGAGTACAACTGATCAGAAAGATTTTGTAGTCCAAAAACTTGCCTACAATCCAATCAACCTATAAAAGTCTTAAAAATCACACATAATTAAAACCTCCCAGATTTATTCAGTGACTAAGAAGCTGCAACAATCTGCCCTTTAATCTATGCTTTTTAAAAGCTCAATTAGGTGATTCTGCTGAAAGGCCAACTTTGGGAATTACTGCTCAGAGCCCTGGTCTAAAAAGCCATGATTCTGAACCTTATATAACCACAAACATGTCCCCAAAAGTGTAGTAACAAAACTTTGAATATACTTACCTGAGTGAGTTCATCTCTGTTTTCTGAAGAGAGGAGTCACCAGCCACGTGGCTGAGTTTGTGGGCTTGGAATTTTGCTTTATTCTCTAATGACTCTATTGTTTCTCTCATTATCAACATTTTAGACTTTAATTCACATTTTTCTTTTTCAAGCTACAATTTAAATTTTGAAAATTAATAGGTATATGTCTCAGTTTTTAAAAGTCTTTGATATTTCTGGAAGAAAACTAAGGAAATAAGTTAGACTTACTTAAAAATACTGTCAAGCCTAAAATCTATTTTAGGCTCTTGATGTGAGGATGAATTCACATACTTAACTCCTCCCTCAATATTATTGAAAGAAAAGATACCCTCACAAAAAGGGAAAAAAGAACATAATATTCATAATATTAATGAAGCGGGAAGGGAAACCATCAATAGAGCAAAAATTTTGAGGCATTCCTAAAAAGCAATAAGTAGAAAGCACTGAACTGAAGAAACATCAGAGCAGAAAACACTGTAAACCAAACATACAATAAGCCAGACATATATGAAAAAATTATAAAATTTTCCTTAACTGCAAAAAAAAAAAAACCACCCCTGATTTAATATAAAGACATATCATGCCCCTGAATAATAACACAATATCATAAATATATTAAAATCTCCTCAAATACTTGTCATTTGAATTTATGGGTATTTGGCAAAGATGTTCTTGTTAATGCAATACTATTTAACTGTTTTCCTTTAAGGAATAAACTTATTGTGTCTTATCTAGGAGCACTCTCTGGCACTAACACTTGTGAGCTGTTTGATCTTGGGCAAGTTTTTCTACCACCTCAGTGTCCTCATCTGTGAAATGAGGACAATATTATTAGCATTTTATATGCTATATGGTTGTTGAGAGAGTTAACATCATAAAATACAACAAATGTTATATATACATATATAATATTGAGACAAGTATCTGATAGTAATATAATACAAATTATTTCTCCAAGGTCTTCCCATGTTTTATCTTTCAAGAACTTTAGTAACCTTAAATTGATTTTTAGGTATGGTATATTTGAGGTAGGATCTAACTTCTTTTTATATACATTCATATGAATAGCTAACTATTCCCAAAATAATTACTGAATAATCTTTCCTTTCTCCCCATTGATCTATGTTCTTTATAGATCAAGTGTCCATATATTTGGGTGTTTCTTCCACTGGCTTTTATCATTCTCTCTTAATCTCTGTGCACTATACCACCCTTTCCTAATCACCCATGACACTGAAGTCTTCATATCTAGAAGTGCAAGTCCCACACCATGTTTAATAAATTACCTGGTGATTAACACATGTCAAATGTTCAACAATTTTCTCTAATTCTGAGTTTCCAAAATGACTCATTTCCTGGAGACTCTGAAAGATAATTTTATAGATGTTTACTTGTATGAGATTATAAAGAATTAGGAAAAGTAAGGAATGCAAGTTTATGATACTATTACTTTGTCTTTCCATAAAACAATGTTTTTAGAAAAAAATCATTAGATGGTTTATAAAAATGATGCTTTAGATTAGAAAAAATGCAAAATGGGGTTTCATCTTTTACACTCTAACCTCATATATGATTGTAACAAAACATATAGATTGGTATGGGTTCATCTATAAATATTTATACAGGTTAATCCTTGAGTACCAGGAAATTAAATAAGCTCAAGAATGGGCCTTCATGACAGAGAAAAGAAAGAGTATAAGGAAGAAAAAATGAGCTCAGAAAGACACAGAAAACAGAATACTACAACGCCATATAAAAGATCAGACTTTCAAGTATGAGCTGATCAACAGTATAAACACAAGTGCTGTTTTTGCTTATACTAGCGTTTTCAATTCTTGCTGAGGTTTTCTAATGCAGCATTATACTTCCATCCAGGTTATTCATTAAAAAATAAAGACATTTGATATTTGGATTATGTATTTAGTTGAAAGGGTCACTGCACTGTACAAATTTATTCATTTGTTAAGTCATTCAACCAGTATTAAGCACATACTATATGCCAAGCACCACACAGGTAATAGGAATTTAGCAGTCAGTAAAATGAACAGTATCTGACCTTATAGATAGTATAGCTTAATAGAAAAGACAAACTTATGAGTTAAAATCCATGAATAATCTGCTAGAAAAAGGAACTGTATAACAACATACCAAAAGTAAGTCTGAAATCTATGATTTGTTTTCTGTCTGAGGGAAATGATGTTTAAGCTGGCTTTAAAGGATGAACAGGAATCAGCTAGGTGAATGGACTGGAAGTAATAAAGGAATTTTTTAATAAGTCTATTTTGAAATTTGCAGGCTAGAAAAGTCCATTAAGTGTTGAGTATTGAGAAAGAGTGGTAGGATCTGTAGGAAAGAAGCTAAACCTCATAGCAGGCAGGGGCCAATCATGGAAGTCCTTGAAACAGTAAATAAATTTTAAGTAGTAAGTGATGTGACAGGATTTAGATCTCTGAAAGATGATTCTGACTTCAGTGTGAAATATATTTTTGAGAGGGGCAAGCCTAGAAGTTATGAGAATATGAATACAGTAATGCAGGTAAGAGAGAGTAATGGCCAGAACATGATAGCAGAGGGAATGGAAAGAAATAGATTCAAGAGAAATGAATGTGAGCTCAGGATACAGATTTCCTATAACTTCATAGCTGGATAGTATTGGTTAAATTATTGAAACTCATTGTAACTCAGAGGTCTCTGTATTACCTACCTGAAAAAAGACCACTGTTACACAGCTTCTCAAGCATACTATTTTATAATTTTAAAGCTATATTTGAAATAGTCAGTCATATAACACAGTATACTCCAAATCCAATTTGATAAGTGACCTGTGAAAATTTACTAAAACAGTCCACGTAAAATGCACTTAGAAGAGAGCCTCTCACATGGGAGGGGTTTAACAGATGTCACATATTATTTAAGAGGTGGCATCACTAGGATTTGGCAGTTAACTGAGAGAGATATACTAACTTTCAGAGAGGAGTCAGTGATCCACCGGGTGGACAATGGGATAACAGGAAAATACCAAAGGAGGCTTATGGATTGAGCTAATTAGTTCAGCTTTTAAGTAAAAGACCTAGTATAAACTCATAAATGCTGTCTCCTACAATGCAGAAAGATTCTAAGAAAATGTCACTTTTTCCCAAGTTTTTATTTAGTACTATTGCATTTTTCATTTCTATTTTGCATTCCCTGGTCATTTGAGCAGATATGGAAAGGAATAAATCAGTAGTAGTGCAAAAAGTTGCCATATTGTGCACAGAATTATTCCATTTGGTAATTTTAACACTTATTTTTTATAAGAAAACATTTTCTGGAAGACAGTATTCCAAAAGATCGCAATTAAAAGCATTCTTAAACTGAATAATTGGAGTAAAACTTTAACTAAAAGTGTATGACATAAAGACCATCTTTATCATGCTTAAATGTTCTTACTCCCAAATTTAGGTACTACTTTCAAAGCATTTATCTAGTACTATTTACTGGAAGTAAACTAGGCACTCCATAATAAAACCTGTAACAATTAATACTGAGTTCCTAGAATGTGCTGGGCATTAAATGCTTTGTGTGTCTTAAGCTGTGTATTATTTTTTTTGAAGCCTGTGAAAAGAAAACATAAAAAGACTGTTCCTAGATATCACACGACAAGAACAAGCAACAAAAGAAAAAATAAATTAAACTTCATCAAAATTAAAAACTTTTGTGCTTCAAAAGACACATTAAGAAAATAAAACACAATGCACAGAATAAAGGTTAAATATTTGCAAATCATACATCAGATAAGGGACTTGTATTGAGAATAATAAAGAATTCTTACAACTCAAAAATCACGATATAAATTACCCAATTTAAAAATCGGGAAAGGATCTGAACAGACAATTCTTCAAGATATACAAGAGGCCAAACACGATTATGGTAAGAGGGGAGACATCAGCAGCCATTGGGAAAAGGCAAATCAAAATCGCAACGATACTATTTCACACTTACTAGCATAATGAAAATAAAAAAGACAGGTAACAAGGATTGGTGATGATATAGAGAAATGAGAAATCTTACACCAGTGCTGGGGAGAATACAAATAGTACAGGTACTTTGAAAAACAGCCTTGCAGTTGTTCAAATTGTTAAAAAGAGGTACACAGCCAAGATAAATGAAAATATCTACACAATAAAAGTTGTACCTGATTGTTCCTAGCACAATTCATGACAGCCAAAAAGTGGCAACTGCCCAGTCTATCCATATAATGGGATATTATTCCACAGTAAAAAGGAATGAAGTATTGATACATATGCTAACATGGATGAATCTTGAAAACATTATGTTAAGTGAGAGAAGTCAGATATAAGAAATGACATACTGAATGATATTATTTAAAAGAAATGGCCAGAGTAGATATATCCAGAGAAAGTTGAGCAGTGGTTGCTTAGGGTTGAGGAGACTAGGGGAGAAATGGAGAATAATTGCTAATGGGCATCAGGTTTCTTTTTTAGGGTAATGAAAATGCTCTAAAATGGATTGTGTTGATGATTAGCAAGTCTATGAATATACTAAAGCCACTGAACTACACACCTTAAATGGGTGAATTGTATGGTATGTGGCTATCTTCATAAAGCTGTTTTATAAAACAAGATCATGTTCTTCCACATGAGGAACTTCTATTGAGATGAGGGGTTTTTTATTTTCTATAAAGAACCAGAGAATAGATATTTTAGGCTCTGTGGGCCATCCAGTTTCTGTTGTAACTCAATTCTGCCACTGCAGCACAAAAGCAGCTATATAGAATACATAAACAAATGAGCATAGTATTCCAATAACAATTTGTTGACAATGAAATTTCAATTTCATAACCTTCATGTGTCATGAAATATTCTTTTGATATTTTCTTAATTCCTTAAAAATTCAAAAACTATTGTTAGCACACAGGCCATGCAAAAATATTGGTGTAGATTTGACTCATGCGCATTGTCTGTCAAGCCCACTACACTGTAAAGTCACTTCATAGGGAAACATATAACCTCCCCTTTTCTTAATAAATTATCTTTCAAAAATAAGTCAATCTCAATACTTACTCTTAATTTTTCTTTTAAAGCTTCTTTTTCTGCCATAATCCTCCTTAAGTCAGATACTGCAAGTTCTTTTTCCTTTTCCATAAGACTAATAATATTCTGGGAGACTGCGGTTTGGGAAGATTCTTGTCTTAGTACCGATAATTCTTCCTGAGCCTTAAAGAATTAAAAGATATAAAGAAAACATCTGGATAAACTCCAGTTAAAAAAAAAGGCAAACTAACATGTTCTTTTGCTTTCTTCCCAAATCTTCAGAAAATGAGAGTAAAAGGACTAAAATAATAGCAACAACAAAAAGAAAAGACAAGGAGGTTGAAAAAGTGCCTGCTACCAAATTCTGGAAACCAGAGAGCAGATGGGCAACTAGTAATTAACTAAGCAGACCCAAGAAAGCTGAAATCTAAGCCAACAATGGGGAAAGCACAGAAGTGTATCAATTTGCACTACAGAATCCTGCAAAAAGTGCCAAAAGTGAAAATAACTTCTCGACTTGACTTTTTAACTTCACATCCATCTGTCCCTCTTGAAGTAGCAGTAGACTAAGAGGAGATTGACGGGCACAAATTTAGTGTTAGACACCATGTTTCCACAGACTCTGCTCTCACAACTGCAGTTTTGTTAACTGGACCAAACTGTATTGATTATTTTCTCTAGAGTTTTTTCAGTAGAGGCTAAGTCCTTACTATCCTGTATATCCAAATAGTGAGCACCACCCACCGTTTGATAGATATAACCCATGCCTGAATTCTAGGATAAACTTGGCTCAAGGTCATGCTGGTTTAATTATAATTTTGTTTCTTACTTCTTTATATAACTCATAGATAGGCTGGAAAAGAGGAAGAATAAATATGGAAAAATAAGAGAAATCTCTGCTTTGGGAACAGAGTGACAGTAGAAACTACTACTTATAATTCTAATTATGAAGAAATACCACAAGGTCCATATATCCATATAGTACAGTAATTCTAAGGATATACACTGGTTCCTTTATAGTTAATCTGATTGTATACAATATGCTGGTTTAATTATAATCAGTTACTTACTTCTTTATATAAGAGGCTTAGTTTATCTCTTTCTGCTGTCAATAATTTAACATTACACTGTATATCTTCCATATGTTTTTCAAATCTTTCTAGCATATACTGAAGTTCATCCCTTTCCTTTGCAATCAGATGAATTTCTGAATTGTAATCACCCTGAAACATAAGTTAAAAACAAAAGTGATCATGTTATAACAAACATAAAAAACACAAACATAAAACAAGCTCGTGAGTACAAAGATTGGTGGTTACAAGAAGTGGAGGTAAGCAGGAGCAGGCTAGGCAAAATAGGTGAAGGGAGTTGCAAAGCACAAATGTCGTACTATAAAATAAGTCACAGAGATGTAATGTACAGCAGTACATTATAGTAACATGAAATTGTATATTGAAAGTTGCTACTAAAAGAGTAAATCTTAGAAGTTTTCATTATACACACCACAAATTTGTAACTGTACAGTGGTTGATGTTAACTAGACTTACTGCTGTGACTGTTTCACAAAAACACAAACACTGAACCACCATGTTGCATACCTGAAACTAATATAAAGTCACATGTCAATTATAAGTAATAAAAAAGAAATGCAGACTCCTGGGGGTTGGTGATGGAGGGAGGCAGGGAATCTATAGCTTTTTGATAATCAAATCACATAAGCTGAAGCAGATAACCTGCAACCACATTGTAAGAAATACATGTCTGACTCCATCTTTCTCCAAAGAGTTGTCTTTTCTGTTGGTGGACATGCACCCTCATCAATTAAGTGATCACTAGGCAGGGAATTTATGAAGAATTCATGTGTTAGAAGGAAAGCTGAATGACAATGAACTTTTTTGAGTCCTGAGATCTAAGTTGTTTTTTTTTTTTAAAGATTGTTTATTTATGCATACGAGAATGGGAGTGTACAGGACAGAGGTGTAGGCGGTGAGAGGATCCACCAGTGACAGAGTGGAGAACAGAACAAGCAGATTGACTGAAATACACTGCTGAGGGTAGCAGCGGGCGAGTCAAGAGAGGTCTGCTGTACCATGTGGGTTGCTCCCTGGCCGGGGATCGAACTCGTGCTGTGGTGGCTGCGGTGGCTACAGTTAGCTTCACAGGTTGCGTCTTAACCCCTTGCGCCACCAGGGAGGCCCCTGAGATCTAAGTTTTGATCTTTTCTATGACATCACTGACTGATGGTTATTCAGCCTCTCTTGAAACATTTCTAGTGAAAAGGTACCCACTACATTACAAAATAATATTATTTTATTACTAGAGAACTCTAGTTACTAGTTATTTATTAAGCCAAAGTTGTCTCTGAAAAAAATTTAACACTGGACTGTATATATCTTCCATGTTTTTCAAATCTCTCTAAACATATGCTGAGGTTCATCTCTTGTGATCAGATGAATTTCTGAATTGTAATCACCCTGAAACAATTTAAAAATAGAAGTTATCATTTGTCATAAATATTACTACATGGTTGTCACAAGGATGCTGATGATGAGACTGAAAGATGCTAATAGACAAAAGATATAAATTCCTTTTATGTAATTAAAGAATACAATTTATGATCTATAATGAGAGCAGGAGATGAGAGAACTGGCAGTACTGAGGTAAATTTCCTGACCTACAAGCTCCCAGGAGTGACCCAGGTATCAGTGATACTACTTGGTCAGATCCCATTGGATGTTTCAACTGTTATTTTCCTGGAATTGTTTAAACTCGTGGTAACTAAAGTGTAATCACCAGGCCAGAAGCTTCAGCAACATCTAGGAACTTGTAAGACATGCAAATTTTAGGGCCTACCCCAAATCTACTCGATCAGAAACTTTGGGGCTAGGGCCCAATTACTGTGGCTTATCAAGTCCTCCAGATCGTTCTGATGTACATTAATACCAGGAGCCACTAGGTTATAACCCTTTCCAGGGAAGGGTGTGTGTATGCCTGCTCACCCAGTACAAACAACCATGACCAAATCTAGCACATTTCTGTGTTCTCTGTGGCTGAATCCAAATAACTTCACATGCACACCAATTCCCAACAAATCTATGAGAGGCCTATTTTTATAATCAGATTAATGCAAATATTTCTATGAGGCAGTGAACATTAGTGATGTTCAGTTCACTGAGTAAGCAACTACTTCCAACATTTCTAAAAACAAGATTGTGTCTATAGCTCTAGTTAAATCAAAAAGTTTCGGGGCCTCCCTGGTGGCGCAACGGGTTGAGCAAAGAGCTGTGAAGCTGTCCACAGCCTCTGCAGTGCGGGTTCAATTCCCGGCCGGCTAGGGAGATTCCCACATAGCACAACAGACCTCTTCTGTCTCGCGCCCGCTGCTCCCTTCAGCAGTGCTTTAGGTCCGTCTGCCTGTTCTGTTTCCCGCTCTGTCTCTGGGGAATCCTCTCACCCTCCTGCGCCTCTGACCTGTACCCCAGCTCTGGTATAAATAAAAAAATCTTAAAAAAAAAAAAGTTCCACTAATTTCACAATCATTGTGGAAAATAAAGATGGTAAATGTAGACTTGGAATGTATGGTACACCAAAGTACTAAATACAGAAGTTCCAGGTAGGGATCTGATCCTATCTTGATACAATGGAAAGCATCCTCACCTATCTTCCTTAATATCAGTTATACAACTATAATGTCCAACGTAGACTAATAAATGATAGATCTCTTTGAGGTGCCTCTTATCTCCCACTTGGAAATAAGATATTTTCTTGATTAAACAAGCAAAATCAGGGCATAATGGATGAGATTAGGTATCTGAACACCTTCAAAGGACAGTATGTTTTTCAAGACAAAAACAGATTAAGGTCTGATGAATTAAGGCATAAATGCCTGTAAAAGAAAATCTGACCTAGCCATAATGTAAATTAAAATTAATCTTAGAGAAAGGAGGTGGTCTGCACAAATTTAAGGAAAGAAGAGCTTAGTGAATAAGGACTTGACAGTCAATTTTCAATACAGGTCTCAACTTACATGCTACTTTCTCCAGGGAGTTCTTACAAATTCTCCAATCTAAATAGATCTCCCTCTATATTACTCTCATAGCATTCTGAATCTTTCCTATATTCTTTCTTCATTAACACTTATTATAAGTGAGAATATAAAGTTATTTATACGATCATTTGTTTAATGTATTCCTTTACCTCTAAAACGTAAACCCTGTAGGACATACTAGGTGTGTGATCTTAGTAACTGCATCTTCAGTGCTAGCATGGTACCCTGCAAAGTGTATGACCCTAACATTTACTGACTAGCCTTCTTAAGCAGAAACTATAGCTTTTCTCTAGACATATTATATGTAGATATTTTGTATTAGTATGAATATAATTGTTAATAACGCCCTTTACTCCTCCATTGTTCCCAACACACACACATAAACATACTTACTCATGCACCTACATAGACAACACACAAAGCTATGAGGACAGGAACAAATTATTTATGTATACTAGGTAACATCAAAACATTTCAAGAAAGTGGGCCTCCCCGGTGGCATAGTGGTTGAGTGCTGGGTTGCGAAGCTGCCCACAGCCTCTGCAGCACCGGTTCCATCCCCGGCTGCCAGGAGAGGATCCAACATGGCATGCAGACCTCTCCTGCCGCCTGCTGCTCCCTTCAGCAGTGTACTTTGTTGGTCTGCCTGTTCTGTTCCCCACTCTGGCTCCGGTGAATTCTCTCACCCTCCCGTGCTTCTGACTGTACCCAGTGCTTGTATAAATAAATAAATAAATCTTTAAAAAAAAAAAAAAAAAAACATTTCAAGACAGTAATTAAGGTGGGGGGGTGGGGGGTAGAAAGTATTTCCTAATTTTACCCAGAACCTTACCAATACCTTATTTGTCTTTCAATTATGAGTCTACATCACACAACTGAATCAAGTATTTAGGTTAAAAGCTTTGAGAAATAACTCAGAAAGAAAAAGAAAAATACCAGATAGTCTCACTCATAGCAGGAATTTAGAAAACCTAAATAAGAGATCAGGAAAAAGACTAATCAATACAAAGTAAAAATCAAAATCAACAAGCAACTATAAACCAGAGACACCCTGGGGGGGGGGCGGGGGGAGGGGTGCGTAGGGAGGGAGGGGCGGGGAAAGGAAGGGCTAGAGTCAAAATAAGGGGGGAAGTGCAATTGTATGGGGAATATAACCAAAATGAAAATGCATACATTGTGCAAAGATGAAAAAAGATGTAAGAATTATATAAAATAAAATATTTAAATTAAAAAAAAAGCTTTGAGAGATTTAGTGCCTCCCCTGGTGGCGCAGCGGTTAAGCGCTGGGCTGCAGAGGCTGCCAGCAGCCTCTGCAGCACCAGTTCATTCCCCGGCTGCAGGTGAGGGTCCCACAAAAAAAAAAAAAAAAAAAAAAAAGCTTCGAGAGATTTATTTACTCAGCTCTATTTAATGAATACTTGATTCAACTGGCCAAATAGTTTGCTGAGGATTCTCCTTTACAATCAAGGTGATCAATTCTTTCTCATGAGTCCTAAGAATACATGGAGCTTAAAAGACAACTCAGTAACACATAAAGTAACTTATGCTGTATCTGCCCCCAATTCTTTTCCTTTATAACAGATAACATGGATAACAAAGCATACTGTTTATACTAACAACTATAAATTAAATTAAGCCATTAGCCAGTAAGGTTAAAAAAAAATAAAATCTATCAGAAGATAAAATCATTTCACAATATACACAGGACCTTCAGAAAAAAGATGGAATTGGTAAATTTAACCAAAACTAAACCAAATGTTTTGAGTTTTAATGATATTATTCCTAACTTGCCCTAATTTAATCCAGTGTATAGATAATGTTAAGATCATATAAGCCTCCATGATTTCCATAGCTCCAAAAATTTTTTAGAAAGAAAAACCTTAAGAATTCAAATGATATTTATAAAGCTTTGAAAATAACTAAGACCTAAAGTAGGGACACCTGATTTTACTCTGTCATGAATCATGGTTAATTTTACATTATGTCTTTAGACAACCAACTTGTAAATGTGGTTACAGTGCACAAATGGGATGATCTGCTCAATATCCGCTTCCATTTTCTACTTTCTCCCACTGTGATGTTAGTATGTAAGATGCCTGATCTGTACATGTGACCACCTTTCCAAGACTGGTCCACAGCTGAGAGTGGCATGAAGTCATATAGCTTGCCATGCAGACAGTCACTCTGCTTTGAGAGAAAAAATGTAGCTGGTACTAAAAGCGAAGGCTTTGAAAGACAGATAATGTCCAGTAGCACTCATTCCTGATCCAGTTTCTGTAAATTCATACATCCCTAAACTCCTCCCGTATGTATAAAAAGCTGTTTAATTTTTCCTTAATTTCTTTAACATTAGCATTTGATTCTGTTATGCTTTATTCATCAAGCAGCTTTCCTCAGCAACACAATGTTCTATAGTAAAGGTCACTGAGGAAAACAAAAATCAAAATTAAGAAACACTTAAAAGCAAGTATGGGGCCTCCCCAGTGGTGCAGTGGGTTGAGCACAGCGCTGTGGAGCTGTCCACAGCCTCTGCAGCGCCAGTTCGATTCCCAGCCAGCCAGGGAGAATCCCACATGGTGTGGCAGACCTCTCCTGCCTCACCCGCTGCTCTCCTCAGCAGTGTCTTTGGTCTGTCTGCTTATTCTGCTCCCTGCTCTGTCTCTGGTGAATCCTCTCACCCTCCCACGACTCTAGCCTGTACCCCAGCTCTTGTATAAATAAAAATAAATCTTAAAAAAAAACAAGTATGAAGGTTACATTTAATACAATAAATCAGAAAAGTTTGTTCATAAAGATATTATCTTGCCTTATCAGTTAGTTATTCATTTAAGAAGATACTACCTTTTCTGGTGCTTTAAATATTGACATTTTTTCACGTGCAGAATAATTTGCAGAACAAGATCTTCGCTGTATTATATGTTGGAGTCTTTCTAGCTCTTTCTTATAATAGTCTCGTTCTTCTTCTATACCTTTCAGAAATGTATCTAAACGAGAAGGTGACTTGTCTCGACGTTTTATTCCATGTTCTAGCCTCATTCTCTCAACTTCCAAAGTAAGTTCTCTTTCTGCAAATTAAAGTAATTAAATCTTACAGCAATTTCACATGAAAAATATATAATTAGCCAAATAAATTATATCAATAACTTTTGAAATGCAAGCTACTAAAAATCATTAGCTGTTTTATATACTGCCTATAAACACTGAAAGGTATCAAAGAGGAAAACATTGAAAGGAAAGGAATTAAAAAACAAAACTTCAAGTTTTTAAAAAATCGTCCTGCGTTTGTCTTATCACAAGGATGGGTACTAATCACTACTGTTGAATCCAAGAGTTAAGTCATTACACAGTACTTTCTGGTGACCTGAAAATGGACTAAAAGAAAATTTACAGTCATACTATGCATGATTTTAAAATTAAGTTTGAATTTAACACAGCATACATACAAGTCTTTCAGCAAATAAGAAAAATGACTAATTTTTACCACAGAAATCACCTTTTCATGAGTCAAAAACTAGTTACATTGGCAATTTCCTACAGTTCAACCTAATTTAACTGATGGTTTATTACAACCATTTCATGAGGCATGAAATGATCTGTAAGATAGATTCTGATTCAGGGCCTCCCAGGTGGCGCAGCGGTTGAGCGCTGGGTTGTGAAGCTGCATGCACCTTGCAGTGCCGGTTCGATCCCCGGCTGCTCCCCGGCCACCGGAGGAGGGTCCCACATGGCGCACAGACCTTTCCTGCTGCCCGCTGCTCCCCCCAGCTGTATACTTTGGTCCTTCTGCCTGTTCTGCTCCCCGCTCTGGCTCTGGAGAATTCTCTCACCCTCCCGCACTTCTGACTTGTACCCAGTGCTTGTATAAATAAATAAATCTTTAAAAAAAAAATTAAAAAAAAAAGATATATTCTGATTCATTCCCATCTCTTCTTTCACTCATTCAACAGATATATACTGAGCATTTACTATATGCCCCACACTATCTAAAAATACAACTCTGAAAAACATAGCCAAGGTGAAACAATTACTCCAAATGTGGTTGAATAAGCACTACAAAAGAATTAAATGTAATACAATCTGGAGGATAAATTGGCAGAAGGTAGGAAGGAAGGAGTGACCAGAAAAGAAGAAGAAAGAAGAGTAAGAAGGAATGGGAAATTCTGTCATATGTTAAGGAATCAAACAAACAAACATGAAAAGTGTCCACTGCATTCAGAAAGGAGGTAAGTGATAACTTTAACAAGAGCAGTTTTGTTGGTGAGGTGAGGTGACTGTCATATAGATACAGTCACTCTACTTCCAGAGAAAATGAGCTGATACTGAAGATAAAGGCTGGAAAGAGGAAATATCCAATATCATGCATTCCAATTTCCAGGTATTTTGATACCTCTTATCAACTAAAAGTAACTTCTGTATCTATGTGCTACTGGTTTGTCTCCCTAATTAGATTAAAGGCTCCTTAAGAGTTGGGGCCCAATGTATCTTATTTATCATTATATACTCCAGCACCCAGAAAAGAGCCTGGCACAAAACAGGTTCCAAAACTCACCTGTCAAACGAATGAATGAATATATGCTCCTTAAACTAACTCATTTAAGTCTTTTAAATGGCAGAAAGTCCATTTAAATGGTGTGTGTGTTTGTGTAGTTTAGGTGACAGAACAGCATTTCCTTAAAAAGATTCTGTACTTCAATTTTCTACTATTTCAAAATGGTCTTCCTCAGGCCTCCGCTAGTGGCGCAGCAGTGAGCGCTGGGCTGCGAAGCTGCCCGCAGCCTCTGCAGCACCGGTTCAATCCCCAGCCGCTTGTGAGGGTCCCACATGGCGCACAGACCTCTCCTGCAGCGCCCGCTGCTCCCCTCAGCAGTGTATTTCGTCAGTCTGCCTGTTCTGTTCCCCGCTCTGGCTCTGGTGAATTCTCTCACCCTCCCGCGCTTCTGACTACCCAGTGCTTGTATAAATAAATAAATAAATCTTTTAAAAAATAAAAAACAACAACAAAAAACCAAAACGGTCTTCCTCTTAATCTTAATTCTATTACAAGTTTGCCTCAAAGAAGAATACGCTTCTATTGAAAACTATTCAAGCAGGGTTCCTGTACAAAGCAGTCATAATACAAGTATCCTATAAGGGAGGTGAAGATAGATTTTCTACTATATCTCAGTGCCTACTCTGGTTGCTGGTCTAGAGCAACATTCAACAAATATTTACTGAATGAATGAATGAAAAATCTTCTACCAAGTAAAAGAATACTTTAAAGAGAAATTACCAGGCTTTTTGAATGATCAACAATTTATAATTTACCTGTAACTGAAAAACTTTCAATTTTTTTGGTAAGTCTTTGCTTTTCTTCTTCAAGCTGATGAACAACAGTTTCCAGGTCTGATTTTATAAGAAGTTCATCACTCAGTCTTTCTTTTTCTTTATGACATAAACTTAATTCCTGCAAATTTTAACATCATAATTAAGATTTCTAACAACTTCATAAAATATTATAGCTTACAAAAGTAGGTGTTCTCGTAAACACATTTAAGAACAATGTACACATACACATTTTCCGTCAAATATATGGTTTCTGTTAAAATTATCAACTGTGACTAAAAGTACTTAAAATTCAAATGTCAATGTGTCTTTGAGTAGAATATCTTTTCCTTTCTTTTAATTTGATTAGCATATTGTTCTATTTTTAAAAATGAATATGGACTTGAACAACAAAAATCTTTAAAAAGTTTATATTTAAAGGAGGGCAATAGCAAGACCCAGTGCTTTAAGATTGCCCACGATAACTGTAACTATACTGGTTGTTCTCTCAGGGTCCTCAGCATTGTGGGGATGCGGTAGCTGTGACACGGAGGATTCACTAGGAAAAATGAATCGATAAATGTGAAACATGGTACTACAGTTTCCAGCATGTGGCATGTGCTTTATGTTAGCTATAAATATCATTAGCATTTATCTTAAAAATACAAAATAAATGATAAGAAAGTAACTACACCAACATTTTACTATCAGTCCACACTACCAAAATATGGTTACAGTTCTAAGACTGACATGCATAACGAATCATATTGCACTCTATAGTGTGCATAAAAATAGCATAAACTAACAGCAGAAATTCCTGCCCTCAAGGAGCTTATATTATAGTAAAAACACCACAACATCTACTTGATGTTTACTGACCACATGGGAGAAAATTACAATATCTATGAGATTCAGGCTGAGCAACATTTAGCGGGTTTAGCTAATTCAATTATTCAATAGTGAACTAAGTTGAACCAAATACCTGCTAAAGCAGTTGATATGCTGGTCACTGTGAGCATGCAAAATTTTGTTAAGTATTTAGGCACCTACTATGTGCCTGCATATCACAAGGGTTTTTTGATTCTCCTTATGCCATTAGAACATTGCGGCTGGACGATACAGAGTACAGAAAATGAGAAAACTTGGAAGTTAATACTAGTCCTTGTTTTCAATCTTAGAAGAAACTCAACCAATTTAAGAGGCTATCAAAAAAAAAATCTTTAATAATCTTTTGAGTAGCTACCCAGGAGTTTCTACCTGTAAGCAACATTCTTTCTTCAGTTTTAAACTATACCAGCTTGGATTAGGCTTAAGTTGGAATGACTACTATTTTTCTCATCTGAAGACTACCAGAATAAACAACATGACTATAAAAATGTTTTTGCACTACCAAACAAAGTTATTAAAAGAGAACTGAGGGCTTTTAATAAAAAAGTTAACAATTTTATCAAAAAATCATCAATTCTTAGTTTTAATATTTGTAAAGTGCCAAGGAAGAAGTAATTCAAAGAACATAAAATCCCCAACAGGTTTTCCAAATATAAATTGAACTTGCCATCTACTACATGAGATTACAGAATTATAAAAATATAATTGAAACTAAACGTATCCATAAAACAGAGCATTATTCAGTCATAAGTAGCATGTACTGATAGAGGCTATAATTAAATCACTTAACAACATCATGCTAAGTGAAAGAAGCCAAAAGATCACATATTGTATGAGTCCATCTATACAGAATGTCCAGAATAGGCAAATCTACAAAAACACAAAAGAGATCAATAGTTGTCAGGGGCTGGGCAGAGGAGGAGATGGAGGAGTGACTGCTAATGGGTGTGAGGTTTATTTTGTGAGTGATGAAAATGTCCTGGGATTAGACAGGAGTGATGGTTGCACTACTTCAAAGCTGTAACAGAACCACTGAATTGTATACTTAAAAGAGTAAATATGATGATGTGTAAATTATATCTTCAATTAAAAAAATGTAAAATAAAGGATTAAATTATCTTACTGAAAATTCTGACAATTCTATACATCTACTTACTAGTTGAAGTTTTGCCATTGTTTCCTCAAGATTCCGCATTTCAGAGAGCTTTCTTTTAATCTCTTTCTAGGAATAAAAAGCCTATTAGGTAAACGTCTGAAAGTTGAGACTATATCATAAGTCACATTACAAATAAGATCAGCCATTTTTAAGTAGTTCAGACTCCCTACCTCTCACCACTGAGATCTGAGGCTTTAGCACACTAAGCCTCAACTTCAATGAAGAGGCAAAGTTTGCATTTCAATTTCTTGGGATCCCGAATACCTATTTGTAACCCCTGAAACGTAAGGGCAACTTGAAAACCATTTTTTGCTGCTTACTTGCAGGATATTCCTTGAGCCTTGATTTTGAGGATTCATTTTATAGTACTATCATTTCCTGATTTTACTATCCTATTTGCTTTTCCCTCACTTGCTACTATCAACCTGTATCCTTCACATTGCAACTAAAAACGTTGAATGTCAAGGTTCTGGTTGAACCACACTGTCATTCCTGAGCACTTCCAATGGCACATGAGAAGCCATATTCAGCATGGTTTGTGCATGAGCATAAGAGTGGTAAAAGGAAGTAAAGGGAGAATGATGAGAGACAGGAATGTTGCAGTGGAACTAAAGCCACAGACATAGACTTAAGACTGCACTAATTATGTTCCTTGTTCTTGAGAGTGTTTTGGCTATTTGAGGCCCCTTTAGGTTTTATAGAAATTTTAGGACCTTTTTTTTCATTTCCACCAAAAATTGGCATTGAGATTTAGAAAGGAATTGCACACAATCTGTGGAATGCTTTGAGTAGAATGGACAGTTGAACAATATTAGGTCTTCCAATCTACAAATACAGGATTGTGTTTCTACTTATTTGTCTTCTTTAATTTCTTGCAATGTTTTGTAGTTTTCACTGCTGGAGTCTATTGCCTCTGTGGTTAAATTACTGTGAAGCATTTTATTCTTTTTGATGCTACTGAAAATGGGATTATTTTCTTTCTTTTTCTTTTTTTAAAGATTTATTTATTTATTTATACAAGCACTGGGTACAGTCAGAAATGCGGGAGGGTGAGAGAAATCACCAGAACCTTAGCTGGGAACAGAACAGGCAGACTGACGAAATACACTGCTGAGGGGAGCAGCGGGTGCAGCAGGAGAGGTCTGTCGCACCATGTGGGACCCTCCCCAGCGGCCGGGCATTGAACCGGTGCTGCATAGGCTGCAGGCAGCTTCGCAGCCCAGCGCTCAACCGCTGCGCCACCAGGGAAGGCCCAATAGGATTATTTTCTTAATTTCCTTTTTGGATTGTTAATTATCAGTGTATAAATACACCTGATTTTTTGGTGTTCACTGATTTTGTATGCTGCAATTTGGCTAAATTTGTCTATAGGATCAGGTTGTTACAGTAACATTGGTTTACAATATTGTATATGACTCAGAAATACAGGATTATAGGTTTTTTGGTGTGGCATCTTTAGGAATTCCTCAAATAAGATCATGTTATCAGAAAACAATTTTACTTCTTGCCAATTTTCATGTCTTTTCTTTCCTAACTGCTCCAGCCAGACTTCCAGTACTATGTTCAACAGAAGTGGTAAGATTAGGCATCTCTGTTTTGTTCTTAGTCTTAGAGGAAAAGTTTCCAGCCTTTCACCACGGAGTATGATGTTAGCTGTAAGCTTTTCATATAGCCCCTCAATGTTCAGGTAGTTTTCTTCTATGCAACAAATTAGTAGAGGTGACATGTTTAAAATTAATTCAGTGATGTAGAATGGTATAGTCTTTCAACTGGCTTATACTAAATCCTGGAATAACATGAAGATTTTCCAAATATTAAGTTAAACCATAGTTTTAAGGAATCAATCACTAGATTCTTAATTTTGCATACACGGTCTTTCTTAAACATTGTCTACCTGATGGTGATCCTTGATAAAGGATATCCTAATGTTACCTCAATTAAAAAAAATTTATTAATTAAAAAAAAAGTATCTTTAAATCTGCTTGTGGTCTAGGTATCATGTGAGTTCCCCTTTCCCACTTTCTCTTTCACAAATGCCTTTTTACCACCTTTCAAAACAAAGGCATACATTTCATTGCATATTGTCTTAAGACAAAAGTCCTTAGAGGCATCAGACAAAAAAATAATCTGAAAGGTTAGGTGCTATGTGAAGTCTTTAATTAAAATATATTTTCTCCCATTATGTCTCATGAAGAGGTGCATTTCCAATAAAATTTTATTTTTTATTTAGCAAGTCTTTATTAACATGTGTTCCATATTTGTCATTTTGATCCACTGAGTACTAATCATTTTAACTAACACTATTCAGACAAAAATACTAACACATGAACCTTGCAGTCACAGGACTTACAAAAAAACAAAAAATTTCAATTTAAGTATTTTTTTATTGCAGATGTTTGGTTGAATGATCATAAAACATATTCAAGCATAAAATGTTAAAACAGAATAAAATTTTGAAGATTTCAAGGAGAAATGGTCATTTGGATTTCACTGGCTACATTTAAAAGAATCATGTGACAGTTCTATTTTAAGAAATCAGTATTTACAACAAACTGGAAATTACATCATTTACATCTATTTAAACAAAGACTTTGTAAAATGTTAGCTGCCAACTTAAAGTGTGCAAGGACGTACATAGTTTAAAGACATACCCACAAAATGACAGAGGACAAGCTTCTAAAACTTGCTCACAATGCAAAAATAAAAGAATAGAGATGAAAATCTTGAAGAAAAATTAACAGGATCTGGAGAGCTAGCCTAAAGAAAGGTGTGCCTTAGAAAGACATTAAACACCTACAGCAAGCACAAGCATTTAGAGGATATAAAAACTTTAGAAAGCCTAGAATTACAAAACGGAAAGACAAACCACAAGACCTGTATACAGATATCAAAGGGCTGAAGCTCACTATCTTCTAGAAGACTCAACAAACACTCCTACAATTTAGACGTACCTTTGCTTCCCCAAGTTCCTTATCAGCAGTCTCGAGCACTTCTTCTTTATGTCTTTCCAACTGCTGAGCTAACTGGTCTATTTCAGTTAATTCTTGGCAAAGTTTTTCATTTTTGTTACTTAAGTTAACAACTTCAGTAGTCACTGTTTCCTTGGTTTCCATAAGCTCTTGTATATGCCTCTCCAGATCTTTATTAGCTTGCTGAAGAAAGTCAACCTAAATTGAATATGTAATCCATGAGATATATGAATTGGAAAATAATCTTAAAATACTAAACTTTCAAAATATATTTAAAAAATATTCAAAATTAAAACCATAGGTATTATACATTTGCAAAAATACTGTTTTGATTTGTAAAACTGATAATGTGTAGTTTAATAAAAGTAGATATACATGCATTTTGATTTTTAGGCATGGAAGGAGATGCTAAGTTTGTGTGACCTTGGTTTCAACAGAGTTCTATAAATTTTTCCCACTCTAAGTAATACTTCAATGACCAGCCCTGTCGCTTTTACAAAGCCATGGATCATTATAAACACTTACTGATTTTACACAGTCAGGGAAATAATTATAGAAGTAGTTACCTGAATATTTAAATGAGCAATAAGTTTTTCATTGCTTTTATTTCTAGTCTCCAGAGAGAGGATATCAGAAGAGCGACCACCATCCAGTGCAATTGACAGTCGTTCTATTTCTCGTTCTCTTAGCTCAATCTGAAGACATAAAGTTGTGCTATTATTTAAAAAATCTGATTTTGAGCCAAAATGATTAATGCTGAATATTTATTTAGATGTACTTTCACTTTTCTTACATCCTACAATGTATATAAGATATAACATTCAATATATATATAAACATATGGGATTAGGAAATGCATTTAAACAAAGCAAAAATAAGCAACACAGAAAATGTCAACATAAGATCTGTCAGCCCTGCTTTCATAAGTATTGCTATTGAATAAATTCTTCCTAATTTAATTTTTTCCTTCCTTTAAGACTAGCCTATGTTAACATAAAAATAAACTATTGAATATTGAAACTAAGACTACGCTACTCCTATGCCTGGTAGAGTAAATGTAGATAAATGAATTAATGTAATACACAAAGAAAAGTGAATTGCCACTAAAGCTCAATATTAAAAGATAGGAGACTGGAGTGAATTTAATTATCTATTATTTGGAAAACAAGAGGCATTTATAAGCAAAAAAGCTTCAACCATGACAGCATCACTATCAACCATGAATTTACACTAATTCACATGCAAAAATTTGAAAAAAAAAAAAGAAAGAAAAACCAAAAACCCAGCACTTTTAAAGTTTTGGTTTTCTTTTCCAAAAGAATTTAAACAAATATCAAACCATCAAATTCAGTAATTATTCAATACAGTTCTAGATACACTAAGATAAATAAAACGAATTCCCTGACTTTTAGAACACACAGTTTATTATAAGGAAAACTAGCAAGTAAACCAATGACTGCTGTATAATATGTTGTTTAGTGATAAAGAAACAGGTATATAGCATCGAAGTAGATAATCATTTCCATAATATTTATGACCACGAAAATTAGCGAAGGCCTTTTCAAATAAATATGTCCAAATGGTCATATGATCTATGAACAGAAGAAAGGATGTTTCAGGCAGCAACACAGAAGCATAAAATCACATGGCACATTTGAGGAAGTAGAAATGGCTCAGTATAACTGAATTGTAACGTACAAAAGAATTACTGGTTGGAAATGAGTCTGAAGAATTAAGCAGGAACTAATTATGATAATTATTGAATACTTTGTTAAGGAGAAATATCACACTGAACTAAAGAATGAATTATAAGAAGAAAACCAGAGGTAGGGACATCTTCTGTAGAAATGTATGAGAGATAAAATTAATACAAAAAACAAAACAGTAAGATGGGACAGAGCAGAAGAAAGAAGTTTAAGTACTACTTAGGCAGGACAACTGACAGAACTTGTGTGTGACATCTGAAAGGACAAGAATGATACCTAGAAAGGCTACAGAAAGATGTCTTGGACAGATGGTGATGCCACTAACTAAAGAAGAGAATATAGAAGGAAAAACAGATTTGAGGCAGAAGATAATACATTCAGTACTAGGCGTAGAAGCATGAGAAACCTTCAAGCAGCAACGACCACTGTGAATTTGGGTATACAGGACCTGGAGCTCAGCAGAGAGGTTTGAGCCAGAGAGAGAATGGAGAGTCATCAATATACAGGCAGTATTCTGAACCAAGCAAACGGATAAGAACAGCTGAGGAAACATACAGAGAAAGGAGAAGGGTCAAAGACAGAGTTCTGGAAAATAGTGATACTTCAGGCAGAGGGGAAAAAAGCAAGGAAGACACTCTAACAGGTTAGCAAGAAAAGGAAAGAAAATGAAGTCATAGAGGAGTTCCAAAGAGGAAATGCCAATAATGGAAAGTACTACAGAGTGAGTCAAGAGAATAAATATTAAAGGTATCCTTTTGGATCTAGCAATTAAGTCACTGGTATTATTAGACCAATTTATATATGGGGGGAATGGGGACAGAAGCAGACTGCAAGTGGTTAAGGGCTGAGCTGGAGGTAAATAAGATAGGAGGATTCTATAACTGAGAATTCTACAACTGAGGGATTCTACAACTGAGAAAAGAAAGTAAACACTGTTAAAAAAAATGTAAAAGATATATAAATACTTAAATTAAATTAAAAAAAAAAAAGATACCCTTTCAGGAAGTCTGCCTAAAGAGGAAGGAGAAGGCATTAGCAAGAGAGAGGTAGTTAAAAGAGATTTTTTTTAGGAGATTATCAGTGACAGATCTATTATGAAGATTAAAAGAGTAACTGTAAAGTGGCAAAGTGTTTGTTAAAGAAATAAAGAAAAATTGATTAAAGCAAAGTTCTAAGAAAAAGGAAGGAAACAGGGCTAAATTATCCACTAAGTCGGTAAGGAGAGGCAGAAAGTGAATACTGGTAATTTTAAAGGTAGAGCTAGGAAGTTGAGAAAAGGCAACATCCTGAGAAGGAAGGTATTATAGGTTGGGGACAGAACTTGAAGAAAAAAGCAAAATTTGATAAATAAATGCTAAGAAAAACAGTATAAACTCAAGCCAAAAAAAAATAAAAATTATAGGCGGCAAAGTAGGCTCAACTAAGATAGATAAACACAATTAATTGGTGGTTTCAATCAAAATGGTCAGGCTATTTTTCTCCAAACATTTGAGTCCCCTCACAGATGTTAAAAACTAGTCTGTTTATGTTGGAAAAAAATGGGATAAAAATGTGGTTATAAATTGAAAAATACCAATAATACTCTATTCATGCAAATTTGGTATTTTCAACATCTCTCCATAGTGTGAGCTTTTTGGCTGACATTATGATTCCTTTTCTTTTCACTTCATTTTTATCCAAATAACATTCAAAGTACTTTTCAAACTTAACAGTTATACCAAGATGAAAGTTACATCTATAATTGTATGCACATATCACTTCACTCAAAAAAAAAATGCAGTCATGTATAGAAAATGAAAACATGTTACCCAAATTTAAACTCCAGTAAGCATATCAAGAAAAAAATGCCTATAATTAACCAAATTAGAATTTAGACAACAAAAGTATAAAAGAACAAAGCTTGTTATATTTAATTCCACATTTATCAACTTCCGTGCCTCAGAAAACTAGTTTTGTAGAATACTAGTATCTGTAGAGAAAACACACAACAAATATGTAACATGGAAGAGTAACTTTCAAAAACACTTATGTTCAAAATGATAAAAATCTGTAATATTGCTAGTGTTAAGAAATAATTTAAAGTATCATTATAAAGTATAGCAGGTTCTCCCTGGTAGTGCAAGGGGTTAAGTCTCAGCACTATAAAGATATCCACAGCCACTGCAGCACAAGTTCGATCCCCAGCCAGGGAGCTAACCCACATGGCGCAACAGACTTCTCCTGTCTTGCCCACTGCTCCCCTCAACAGTGTATTTGAGTCAATCTACCTGTTCTGCTCCCCACTCTGTCTCTGGAGAATCCTCTCACAACCTCCCACCCCCACCTCTGGGCGGCACCCTATCTCTTGTATGCATAAATAAAATAAATCTTTAAAAAATAATAAAGTATAGCATACATCAATAAAATACTTTCTGTGATGGAAATAGTAATATGGTTATAAAATTATACTTGGGGAGATAATTATTCACCTATATGTAAAATAACAACCAAAACAAAAAAGTACTATGCACTTCAAAGCATAATGAAAGCAATAACCTAGAGTGCCCTAGAGCCATCTAAGCCACTTCAGTTATTAACTGTATTAAGTAATTGAGGTATAAAAACTCAGTAATGTCAAATATAATCCAGTTCTATATATAATCATAGCATACCCATCACAATCCCTACTATGTAAGTAAACAGAAATTCTACCTGCTTGTTATAATCTCTCAGTCCACTTTCCATCATTGCTAACTTTTCTTGTAACTGGTGGACTTCTTGTTGAAGTTCTTGAATTCTGAAACACATTATAACTAATGTCAATATACTTTCATTAAAAATTACAAATTAAGAAGAATGCATTCTTTTATAAAATCTCTACTTTCTGTTTCTCTATGAGATAGGAGGTGCTTTGCCACTGGGTTCCAAAGCCACAGAATGGACAGAGCACATCATCTGAGAAATTTAATTTTATAAAAATAGATTAAAAAAACAAATAATTAGAAACTCACATATATTACGCAAACTGCATTCATTGTTAGGACACATCATCTGAGAAATTTAATTTTATAAAAATAGATTAAAAAAACAAAAATAAATAATGAAAAACACATATATTATGCAAACTGCATTCATTGTTAGGACAACTCTCTGAGTTACTGTTGCCAATTCTTAGGTTCAGGAAACTGAGGTTCTAGTCCAAACTCCCTAACAGTATTAAGTGAAATAAAGGACCAAAATATGTTTTCTGACCAAAACTGACTCAGTATTTTCTAATAAACTACTCTGAAATCCTGGAAAGAAAAAAAAAAATATTAAGAAATACTACAATTGGGCCTCCCCGGTGGCGCAGCGGTTGAGCGCTGGGTTGCGAAGCTGCCCGCAGCCTCGGTAGCGCCGGTTCGATCCCCGGCTGCTCCCCGGCCACCGGAGGAGGGTCCCACATGGCGCGCAGACCTCTCCTGCCGCCCGCTGCTCCCCTCAGCAGTGTACTTCGGTCCTTCTGCCTGCTCTGCTCCCCGCTCTGGCTCTGGTGAATTCTCTCACCCTCCCGCGCTTCTGACTGTACCCAGTGCATGTATAAACAAAACAAACAAACAAACCAGCAAACAAATAAATAAAGCATGCCTCTATAAAAAAAAAAAAAAAAAAGAAATACTACAGTTTTCCAAGTAACTATAGCAAAAAAACCACTTCTTTCTGGAACCCATTAATTCTAACAGAATCGAGATCTGTCCAAATTATATGAATTCTACAATTGCTCAAATGTATTTAAACTACATCAAATTTTCCAACCCATTAACATAAAGATGACACAACCACTTTCATACTAAAAAAGATAAAGTCTGGAGCCATGTCTGCTTTTAAGAGAGATTTTGCATGGGCTAAGGCAGTTAGTCCCTGCTACTCATGGAACCGTTTTTTACTAACCTAGTTTTATACATGTAACTGCCATCAGATTTGTGCATGAAAACTCTGAATACAGACAAAATGTGCATGTCCAAACTAAAACAAAAAAGATAATCAAGAGACTAATACCACCTGTGATGGCTTGATGGAAAAAAGTTAAGGGAAAAAAAGAGAGAAAATAATGTATATGCAGCTGTAAAACTTCTTAAAAATGCTACTAAATATCATCTGAGAAATAATAGTATATAGTTTCTAAAAGAAGAACAAAATATTTCATGTCTAAGGTCATACAACTGTAAATATACAGGTAGGTAATACTATGTGAGAAGAAATGAGCTAAGAGATCCTAATCACTACCTAATATGCTCTTTATTGTTGTTATGGAGATTAATAAAGTTGAAAAGTTCCCCCATTTTCTCTGCATAATCTACAAAATAAGAAGTTATGTGTGCTATCCATTTCCACTAGCATATTCCTTATTTGAAACGTTTGTCCAGCTATTGGCTGGTAGCTGTCACTTCCTTGAGGGCTCTCTCGCTTCCTTGAGCCCCTATAATTTTCTTAATAGCCTTTTATCTTTTTTATTTCTTTTGTTTCATCTTCACTACTGTGTTATAAACTTCTCAAAAGCAGCAACACCATCTTACTCATCTTTACATCCCCAAAATACTTACATGGTGCTTTTGTCCAGCGAGCTTAATGAAGTTTTAATTAAAACAAAATTTATATCAGATCCCAATGTAAGAAAAGTCAAACATACAAAAGAAGGTAAGCATTAAACTATTTTAAGGCAAACATGGAGAGAAACATCAGTTATGTGATCTATTTGAAATCAAAGTTTCAAAACAAGTAAAAACATTCTATATTCAGAATACCTTCAGAAAGTATTTACTGAGTGCCTGTGCAAAGTTCTGAATCAGGCAGATGTAACAGTTTAGAAAACAAAAGTCCCACTATCAAGAAACTTACAGTTAAGAGATCACTGTTAACTAATGCCAACAAAAAAATATTTAATGCACCTATTATCTGCCACTTGAAGGAGGTCTGCGATGTAAGGGTCATCTGGCTGAGGAACTGGGTAGGAGCTAACTTCAGAGGGAGGGACTGGCTCATCAATTTGCATACGCTGGCGCCTAAAAGCAATGCTTCTTTTTTTGCCACCTAAAAAAGCAAAAGTGTTCTTAAAAAGAATCAAAACATTGCCTAAGATTTAGATATTTGAAAAGGCTATAAAGTTTGTATATACTGATACATTTTCTCCCTCATATATATGGATCTTTAACTAAACCATGAATTCCTGAAAACTTCAACAAAACATGGCTGTAAAACAAGTTTTAGTTTCTCCATGCTTGGCACATATGCCTGGCTTTAATCTATTCCTCTACTAGATTATGACTAGTTTTTGGGAGGATTAAAACTTGAGTGTCTCTGATGGTGTTATGAGCTCAGGAAATCATCACCCAGGAGCTTAAATGTACACACGCTTACTAAGCAATGCCAAAAAAGCAGGTAACTGAAACTTTAAGTAGCAAAATTAATATGCAATGGAGTGTCATCTGAAATATAAAATCACACTATAACCTGGATTAGTGGGGCATGTTCTCTTAATTATCCTTGAAACTAACAGGAGTAATTGCCTTTTATTAAGAGATGTATGCTGTCTTGGTCTAAATTGCATGGATAATTTCTTTCTAGCATCTATTTAAAATTAGATCTGTAATTGAAAAACTAATCGATCCTTATAAAAACCAAACTGCAACCACAACTTTGTTTCCACTAGAATCCCAACACATTTTGTATACTCCTATCTCTCATTTTGAGAATAAAAAACTGTTCAAAAGCAGGCCACTTAAGTACTTTAAATGATCTGCACACTGTATTGTTCTCCCCTTATGTCCTGATTTTCTTCCATGGTTGTTCCTCAGTTCCTTACAGGCAAACTTTCCTAAGGACTACCTCTGGCTTTCCTCTCTTTCCAGTCTGTAACTCCTACCACAGCCATAGCTTCACTTCCCATGATACTATGATGACTCTCAAATTTGAATCTCCACCTACAGCAACACTTTTGAGAACAGCTATCCCACTGCCTACTAGAAACCTCAGTGTGAGTGTCCTGTGGGTAAAACAAACTCGAATCATCCAACAGTGGATTCCTGCCCTGCTTTCCACATTTTCTATATTAAGAAACAACATCCTCATTGACTCCATTCATTCATTTTAAATAAAAGTCTGGGAATTCTCTACTTCTCATGCCTACCACAGTCACTAAATTCTATAGATCATACCACCTAAACCTCACTTAAATTGGTCCACTATTTTCTTAGGAAGCTCGATTATCTGTTTTTCTTAATCTTCCAGTTACTCCCAAGATTGCCCACTTTTCTGCCTTTGGCTGACAGGCCCCTCCCTCTCATTTCCTGCCACCTTGAGCTGCACTGATTGTTCTCTCACCCTGGCAATCAATTTCTGATCCCACAACAGTCTTGGGTCTCCTCTCCACTTAACATCAGGCACACAGTAATGCAACTGTTCAGGGACTCGTCAGCACACAGAACGGTGCTAGCATCCAGATCTTCAGCTCCCTTGCTCATAATCTTTGTTCTGACCAATTCTCTTGGACACTATCTCGTCTCATAATTCAGCACTTCCCTACACCTCACTTACTTCCATATCTTGATCCCAAGCTTCAGACATCTCAATGATCTTGTCACTAGTACTGGCGATTCTTCAAGCAAACTTATGACTGGACAACATCAACTCTGGGTATGCCCCATCATTTCTTTTCTCTTGCTCGAGAACTAATGAGCATAAAGCTAAAAATAGTAAAATAAACTAAGAAAAGTACATCATTTCCAAATTCTTTGAGTATGGATTACTTATATAACTAAAATGCAATTATATAGTTTTAAAAAAAGTAATTTAAAAAATGATTAATAATGTATAATTCTGGGCATTGTCACTAGACTAGTTATTTCTCTATGTTTCTAAGCACATTCATAAAATACTTGTGGATCTTCAGGAAAAAAATTAGAAAGTTAACATGACAATTTCAACACAAGTTTTTAAAAACAAAATCTAAGCATGAAAGTCCAAGGGCAACAATTTTAATATCTCGAAAGATAAGATGTATAAAATTTGTTCTGAGAAGGAACAGGCTTACCTGGAGTTTGTACTACAGCATGCAAATTCTTTTCTTGAAGTTGCTGAATTTTTTCATTCTTAGCTTTGCTCTCTTTCTCCAAAAGTTTGACTTTATGAACATACTGGTTATTTAAAAATTTCAGATCAGCTGTTTCACGTGCACACTTCTTCAAAGTAGTTTTCAACTCTTAAAATGAAAAAGATTACAAGACTATTTTATCGATCAAGAAGTCTATGAAGTTCTTCTACGTAACAAAATACAAGAAGTCACGTAATCGGAAAGTCTTAAAAAATCTACTTCTCCATTATAGACATACACAATTTTATATGAAAACACAAATATTATTATGCATTATACTGTAAATTTTGCTCCCTTATCAATAAATCTTTTTTGGATAAAAATAACCAAAAGAGTCTACCTCATTCTTGTGCATGCTTTGTGTGAAACATTATTACCTTTTCCACTGCTAAGAACAAAACTTCAAATAACTCCCTAAGCACAAAAGGGAATTATAGTTTTCTTCTACTGCATGAGTATAATACAAATCAAGACTTTTGATCCAGTAAATTGAGTATGATAAATATTTGATATGAGGATTATGAATTCACAACAGGTATTGGCTAGGGCTTTCTACCGAATATAAGAAGAAGTTACAGTAAGATAGTCATAATTAGCCTTTGCCACATACCTTTGAAATCATTCTATTCCAACTTCTAGTTCAAAGATGGAATATAAAAAAATCAGAATGATACTTAGTTTTTACCTTGTTTTACTCCTCCTTTTCAGTAAGAGAAAAACAAATGCTGCTTAGGAACATTTCTTCAGTTCTAGCATTTAATATTACCTGTAGTAACTTTATTCTAAAAATTTCATCCACATATAGTGAAGATAAATATAATTGCAAAAGGCAAATTTATTTTCCATCTGGGGAATTCTTCAACATAATCTACAGTATTTCGAATGCTACTAGAAGGAAGATTATAACATTTTCTAATCAATTGTTTTAAAATTAGATTAATTGTTGCTACATATAAAATGAAAAGGGCAAAAAACAATTGCATTTTAAAAATCACAAAATTTACCTTTAATCTGTTGACCTGACTGCTCTTTTAGTTTCATTAATTCCAGGTATAATTCATTATTTTCCTTGCTTAATTTTGCATTTTCAAGTTTATAAGGTTCCAAAACAAAATCAAAATTGGCACTTTCTTTTTCAGCTTTCACAGCAGATAATTTTGATTTCCGAAGACTTTCTGTTGTATGAACTAGGTCACTAAAGAACAGAAAATGTAAATATAAGGAGGTATTCCATTAACTTTCTAGTAACTAAAAATATATTTCTAAAAAAGTTTAAAGTACATATTAATGCTAAGTGAGCCCAAATCTAAAACCAAACAAAACCACTAAGAGCTTTTCAAAGTACCAAGATTAATTAAAAATTAATTAAAAGTTACAGAGTTATGAAATACAGATTCATCTTTGTTAGATTCTAACAGTTAGAATCATCTTGGAGTCTCCTTTTTTGCTCATCCATGGCCAACAAGTGATTTGATCCTGTAGAATTGATGAAACTTATTTGTTCATTTTGCAAATACTTATTAAATGTCTGCTATAATATGCAAAGTGCCAGGAACATAACAAATAAGGATCAGCTCCTTCTCAGACAACAGAGCAGTGGCATATCCGCTCCACCAAACTTTACTAAACCGGGAACACAACAAAGAACCCACTGTCACAGAGCGTATTTTGTGACAGTCAAAATGCTACAATACTGTGTAGGTGATGAACTCAACATACACTTCAATGCCAACTACATAGTCCACCTGTCCTACATGAAACAGGAATAAAGTCAATCTGTAGTCTCGTAGTTTGCATTCTAAAGAGAAAACAAAATTAAGTGTCCAATAGCAAGCAGTTATAGTAGAGTGTAACAGGCCGGACAAGAGTCTTGCAAACCAGTGAGCTAGCCAAGCACACGTCGGAGAGAGAGGCGAAAGGGACTTTATAAGCAGAGAGAACAGTGCATGGAGAGACCACGGATGAGAGCAAAGAGCACTCATATGTTTACAGAGCTTCCAGTGGTTCAAAACACAGGAGAAGCAGCTGCAGGTCCTGGATCATTAAGAGTTTTGGAGGCCATACTAAACACCACAAATTATCTTCTATCCACTTTCTCTGTTCCATCATTATCACTTGCAGTCCTTCTGAAAAAGTTTCCTAAGCTTTCCTACTCCAAGTCTCAAACCACAATAACAAAGCTCAGGTGGAAAAGAACAAAAATCACAAAGAATTTTTCAGTTAAGGTAGCAAGTTAGGGCCTCCCTGGTGGCGCAGCAGTTGAGCGCTGGGTTGCAAAGCTGCCCGCAGCCTACGCCGGTTCGATCCCCGGTAGCAAGGGTCCCACATAACCTCTCCTGCCAGACTGCTCCCCTCAGCAGTGGCTTCAAATTTCTGACTGTACCCAGTGCATGTAAAATAAATAAATAAATAAATTTAAAAAAAAAAAAAAAAAAAAAAAAGGTAGCAAGTTAAAGAACTGGCCAAATTGCATAGCAGAGAACCATTATTAACATAATAGTAATGAGAAACCAGTCAGGGAAATAGACACAGAACTTTCACCTACATCAGCATGACAACAAAAAAAAATGTATAATGCTGCTCAGAAAAATCTGTAAAAGGGGCCTCCCCGGTGGCGCAGTGGTTGAGCGCTGGGTTGCAAAGCTGCCCGCAGCCTCCGCAGCGCCGGTTCGATCCCCGGCTGCTCCCCGGCCACCGGAGGGGGGTCCCACATGGCGCGCAGACCTCTCCTGCCGCCCGCTGCTCCCCTCAGCAGTGTACTTCAGTCCCTCTGCCTGCTCTGCTCCCCACTCTGGCTCTAGTGAATTCTCTCACCCTCCAGCGCTTCTGACTGTACCCAGTGCTTGCATAAATAAATAAATAAATCTTTAAAAAAAAAAAAAAAGAAAAAGAAAAATCCTTAAAAGGTTTTATTCTGAGGGGAATAGTGTAATGGTGACCCCTAGAGGTCCATATGGAGGACCTGACTTGATGGTAGGGAAGTAGGACCAAAGAAGAGCAGAGGAACTTCAGATGATTTAAGGACTAAACAAAGAATTTAACCACTTCTTTACTGAAGCAAGAAGTTCAATTGAAAACTAGACATGGGATTAAGGCCCGTACAGGTTTACAAGTGAAAAGTTTACCTTACCTGAAAAGTTTTTCTACCAAAGGTAAACACTCAACTGTCAGAGTCTGGCGATAGCCCAACTGATCCAATCTTTTTCGAATATTAATATACTTTCTTTCTGCAGCTGTAGTCATCTTGTCTTCCAAAACCAGTTTGATTTGCTTAAAAATATTAAAGTCCTAAAAGAAAAAAGTAAAACATCATTACATCATTGTAGTGTTATTATTGTCTCATGATAAGAGGAAAAGTTTCTTCTTATATGATGCAATTATCTTTTATTTCTCTTCTAATAGGCAGTCTTCTAGAATATTTAAATCCAATGCTTATGGTATTCACATTGGTGTATTGAAATTATCCCTTCATAACACTACATGTAAATGTTAAGCTTCTAGAAGAAAGTAAACAATTAAGCTTCTAGAAGAAAGTATTTTCCCAAAATTGATATAGGCAGAGAATTCTTAGAAAAACCTCTTTTGAAAGCACTCAATATGAAAGAAAAACTTAATAAATTGGACTTCATTGAATTAAAAATTTCTGCTGAAAATAGTCCATTAAGGAAACAAAAGGGGGGCCTCCCAGGTGTCACAGGGGTGAAGTCTCAGCACTGTCATGCTATCACTGCTGTGGCCTTAGTTCAATCCCCTGCCAGGGAGCAAACCCACATATGGCCGCAGCAGACCTCTGCTGTCTCACTCCCTGCTCCCCTCCACAGTGTAATTCAGTAGATCTGCCTGTTCTGCTTCCCACTGTCTCTGATGAATCCTCTTACCCTGGAACCTCTGGCCTATACCCCAGTTCCTCTATGCATAAATAACATATAAAAAAGGATTAACAAGAGTGGAAGAAAATATCCATAACATCTGACAAAGAAAGATACAAAGAATTCTTAGAACTCAACAGTAAGATAACCCACAAAAATGAGCTAAAAACCTGAATAAGCACCTTATAAAAGATAGCTGGATGGGAATAACCATATGAGAAGATTAATGTTAGTTATTAATCACCATGGAAATATAAATGAAAACTACAATGAGCTATAATTTTGCCCATAACTAAAATGGCTAAAATTAAAAAGTCTGACAATACTAAATGTTATCAAGAATTTGGAGCAACTGGAATCTTCACACATTGCTGAGAGAAGTGTAAAATAAAATCAATGTGGAAAAAGTATGGCAGTTTCTTTCAAAGTTAAAAAAATTCTACACCCTAGCTCTGTAATTCTATTCCTAGGGAAATGAAATAAACATCCATAAAAATGTCTACAAAAATATTCACAGGAGCATCATTCATAATAGTCCCAAACTAGAAACAATCTAAATATCCACCAAAGTTGAAAGATAAACAAACCATGATATATTTATACTATGTAATACTACTTAGTAATAAAAAGGGAAGGAACTACTACTGCTACATGTTAACCTCATGGATGGACTTCAAAAAATTTGACCAACAGAAGCCAGACACATATCTTGTGTAATTCCATTATATGAAGTTCAGAAGAGGCCAAATCAAACTATGTGGACAGAAATTAGAAGTGGAGTCACCTAAAAAGATGGGCGTGCGTGTAGAATGCCTGGAAGGGTTCAGTGAAAACTTTCTGTGGTGATGAAAATATTATACTGAATGGGACAGTCATTACACAAAAAGTGTCTGCATTTACCAAAGATTTCCAACAGTGCACTTTAGATCCATGCATTTCACCATGTAATTTTACTTCCACTAAAAATGACACACACACATAAGTATCTCTGTGTATGCTTATTCCTTGTATTTTAAAATATTTACAAATATATTCTCTATTAATTTTTCTTAACATGTCATTATCCAAAAATCATTTCTTTGCAAACTTTGGTCTTTTCTGCCCTTAGCCAACTAAAAGGTAGTCTTAGTTCTCATATATCTAAACCAAACAGAAACTTTATTTTACAGTTCTATTTTTCTTTGCAATTTATAAAATATGAAAGCATGTGAATACAAGCAAAATTTTATTCTCACAAAGACCCTGTAAGGGAAAGAGAGCTAAATATGTTCTCCCTATTTAAAGATGAGGAAAGGATGTCTCAAAAGAATAACTTGCCCCAAACTATACAGCCACAGCAAGTGGGCTGTCAAGTGTTCTGAGAACAGGCCCAACATCCTGGTTTCTGTACCCGCTGCTGCAAAGTATCCAGTCACTTCTATATCAGCACCTCTCCTCGGTTACTCCTGTCTACAAATCTTTCCTTCTCCCACTCCTGTTGGCCAACACAGGGTGTTTTAGAGACGCTCCTGGAGACATCAGAAATACACCTGTCAGGCCTCCCTGGTGGTGCAAGGGTTAAGACACAACCTATGAAGCTGTTGGTAGCCACTGCAGCACCAGTTCCATCCCCAGCCAGCCAGGGAAAAGCCCACATGGCATAGCAGACCTCTCCTGATGCACCGCTGCTCCCCTCAGGGATGTATTTCAGTAGATCCACCTGTTCTGTTTCCCACTCTGTCTCTGGTGACTCCTCTTACCACCCCCCCAACCCTCTGGCCTGTACCCCAGCTCTTGTATGCATAAATAAATCTTTAAAAAAAATTTTTAAAAAGTACATCTGTCATAGCAAGAACTAGCAGAGTCTCATCATTTAAACTATTTCTCCTGCTGGCACCAACTTTGTTTACCCAGAAAGAAATGCTTCCTCACATCCTAAGAGAGAGATAAAAGAGAGAACAGATATTTTTAAAAAAAAAAAAAAAACAAGCCCAAAATTGCGGCCTGGGTTTCAACACTCAGGACAAGATCAGATTAAAATCCTCCCAGGAAGGATAAAAAATAAATAAATAAGTAAGGCCCTCCCACTCTGGGATATTGTCTCTCGGCCCCAATCCCCCGTCCTTATCCTCCATCATCCAAACATGGCTATACTGTAAACTACCAACAAAACAAAATAAAAGGGTAGATTTGGAGGCCCACTGCCGCCCGGCGCCCCAATACACACACAAACGTTTTGAGAACTGGCCACCGACTTAACCCTGGGAAACTGACAACGTGAAGTCGGTAAATCTTATTTTAACATCAGCTCCCGTGCCTCGTTCTGCACCCACAGGGGCCTGGAAACAAACCCGTTAGCTCAGCTGATCCTGGCGTTCTTCCCTACTCCCAACAACAGAGCCTGCAATTTAAGGGTACGCGCAGCGGTGCCAAGCAAACGTTAATAAACGGCTCTCGTCTACGTTTTGCGACATTTTTGTTCTGCCCCAGGGCATGTGCGGCTTAGAGTCAGGAAGCATTTTAACTTTTAAATCGACCCATCAGCAGTAGCCGGGTTTCCCCGGCCCGCGCAGGCGCGGGGGGCTGGCGGGACCCCGGAAATTTGGGGGTTCAAGCAGCACCCCCAGCCCGCAGCTTTACATGGGGTGCTGAACAGAAGGGGGGTCGGGAGCGGATGCCGCGGGGAGTCTCCGTTCCCCGCCCCGCCCGCGCCCCACTTCCTCCAGCGGCCGCGCGGCCTCCCTCCCGGCAGCGCCCGGCCGGCCCGCGGGGACCGCTCGGCCCGCGAAGGCGCCCCGCCTCGCCCGGCCCCCCGCCCGGCCGCGCTCACCCCCGACTCCCGCAGCCGCTCCCTCCGCCCGCGGCCGCATCGCCCTCGGGCCTCGCCTCCCGCACAGGCTCCTTCCGCCCCAGAAACCGGCTCCGGCGCTAGGACAGTTTGAAAATGGCGCGGAGAGACGGTCTGGGCCGGCGCGGCGGAGGCGCCGCGGTTGCCTCGGTAACGGGAGCGGCGGACGGTCGCGGCGCGCAGCGGGGACGCGCCCGACGGCTATGGCGGCGCAGGGTCCCGGTACCCGGAAACGCAAACAGCCCCGGAGGCGCGAGCTAGGGCGCCCCCTAGCGGAACGCGAGAGCCTAACCTCCTCGGGCGCCCAACCTCCCCGGGCGCCCGCGACGGGCTTTGCCGCGGGCCGCGTTTTGACCATCTATGGTGCTCGTGGTTCAAATGCCGCCCCAACCGGGAAAAAGACTGATGGTAATAAAGAAAAAAATCAAAAGCAACAAGTGACTATAAAACAGAGACACACTGTGGGGTGGAGGGGAAGAGGAGGGATTAGGGTCAAAATAAGGGGGATGGAATTGTATGGAGAATATAACCAAAATGAAAATGTATACATTGTGCAAAATGAAAAATGATGTCAGAATTATATAAAATAAAACATTAAATAAAAAATTTTAATTTTGGGCCTCCCCGGTGGCGCAGCGGTTGAGCGCTGGGTTGTGAAGCTGCCCGCAGCCTCTGCAGTGCCGGTTCGATCCCCGGCTGCTCCCCGGCCACCAGAGGAGGGTCCCACATGGCGCGCAGACCTCTCCTGCCGCCCGCTGCTCCCCTCAGCAGTGTACTTCGGTCCTTCTGCCTGCTCTGCTCCCCGCTCTGGCTCTGGTGAATTCTCTCACCCTCCCGCACTTCTGACTGTACCCAGTGCATGTATAAACAAAACAAACAAACAAATAAATAAAAAAAAAATTTTAATTTTGGGGCAATAAATTCATCATTTGACTAAAAAAAATGCCGCCCCAGTCCTGGTCTCTGCAGTGCCTTAGGCTTCACCCGCAAGGCCAACCGCCACTTGTCAGGAATCTGTTGTCTTTGCAACTTGCACTGACAAGTACTCAATACAGTAATTGTTGTTCCTGCACTCATGTCCCCTTGAGGCTCTGTGTAGAATCTTAAATTATAGTCAACACAGTATGCCACCTTTGTTTTTAACTCATGAAATCAAAACAGAATTGTTCACACATGCCTCCCTGGCACCCCAGCACTAAATTTCTGGAAGATTATTTTAGTCAGCTATATTAACTGAGTACCTACCACAATAAACATTTATGGATGGAATTAAATTGAAATAAACTAGTGCTAGAGAACCTGCTCGCACACAAAAAAACATACGATCAAAGCCTAGAATTACTTTTCTCCTCTAAAAATTTCTTTATTAGAGAAAAACTCATTTCCTTTCTGTTTACTGCTCCCCCAACTGGGCCATCCTTTCTGAAAATGTACTTACTTTTTGTCATGTAACTGCGCTATGGATTGTGAATAACTGATAGCCATTCATTTATTGCTTTAACATTCCCACTGTGTGTGCCTTGTCTGTTTTCTGTGTACCTAAAGAGTTGTCTTCTGAGATATCTAGAAGGTGATGTGTTAGATTCTGTAAGTGGTTTTGTACTCGTGAACATGTACAACAGACACATTTTGGCTGAACAATGAAAGAAAGCCATGAAATAATTTATATGCTTTTTTGTATTCAATACCAAAAAAATTAAAAATTTGAAATACATAGCTATTTTGAAAACAGGTAGCCATGAATAAATTAATACCATATCAAAATGACTTTGCAACAGCTACGTTGTCCACATGACTCTGACTTCCCTTTGCCTTAAACACATAGCTATTAGACAAAGTAAAAATCAAAAAAAGAAATGTGAGAAGATGATTCAGACACTGAAGTCATGGGAGAGTTTTGCTCCAAGGCCAGTGCCTTGGAGGAAGGGAGTCAGGCTCACTGCGGGACTCTAGCACCTCAGGTGAGGGCTCCTGGATCACACACACACACAAAATAGCTGCTGCTCACCAAGCCGATCCTAGGGCACTGAGTTTCTGTAGGGCTAGGAAGGCAGAAGGAAAAGGAACATGCCTGGCAACAGAAACAACCTGCTAGGCTCTCCATAGTTCTCCAAAATCACTATGGCCCAAAAGGTCTGAAGTGCTCTGGTAAGACTTGGTTCTTGATTGGGGTGTGCCTGGTGAGGTCACCCTTAAAATCGATAATACAGAGCTAAATATAGAGTGAAAAAGAAATAACCTTTCACTGAAAATGAATTTGCAAACAAAAATGACCTACCAATGAAGAAATCTGATGCTAGTGGAAGTCTTTAAAATGAATATGTCTAAGATGATCTAAATCAAGGTTTCTCAACCTTTCTCAACCTTAGTACTTTTGACAGTTTGAGCTGGGTAATTTCCTTGTTATGAAGTATCTGCCTGGGTATTGTAGAGTGTTTAGCAGCATTCCTGGCTTCTACCCACTAGATGTCAGTGGTATCCTCTGAGTTATAACAACCAAAATGGTCTATAGATACAGCCAATGTCCTTGGAAGGCAAAATCACCATTCCTAGGCAACTTCCCAACGAATGCAAAACACTAATTTGAAGGGACATGGGCACTCCTATGTTCATTGCAGCACTATTCACAACAGCCAAATTATGGAAACAATTTAAGTGCCCAAGGACAGATGAGTGGATTAGGAGGGTGAGTATCACTTAAACAGATATAAAAAAGATAGGGCCTCCCCGGTGGCACAGCGGTTGAGCGCTGGGTTGCGAAGCTGCCCACAGCCTCTGCAGCGCCGGTTCAATCCCCTCAGCAGTGTACTTCGTCAGTCTGCCTGCTCTGCTCTCCCCTCTGGCTCTGGTGAATTCTCTCACCCTCCCGCGCTTCTGACTGTACCCAGTGCTTGTATAAATAAATAAATAAATAAATCTTAAAAAAAAAAAAAGATTAACGCCTGCCATTTGCAACAGCATGGATGGAACTGGAGAGGATAATGGTAAGTGAAATAAGGAGAAAGACATATGGATGGTTTCATTTATGTATAGATATAGAGAAATAAAACAAAGAATCAGATAAAATCAAACTAATAACAAACTCAGAAATCTGAATATATAACTGAAGCTAGCAGAGGGGGAGCGAAGGCGTTAAAACAAAGTGGGGAGGGGACCAATGAACCATAGAGGGCTCTGGGTGCCCTGGGGGTGAGTGTGGTGAGGTAACATACATCTGAAGCATATGATCCTTCTTATGCCTCTAAATAATATACTGTGTGGTAAACCAATGTTACCGCAATAAAAAATTAAAATATAGAAAAATCTTAGAATTGGAATTAAGGGAAAGATACTTTGATCCAGTTACCTGTTTAATGATCTGATCAAGGGAATGGAAGGAAAAACTCCCCTTCAGCTTTTGTGAGAAGAAACTTGCAGCAAATGACACAACTAAAAACCTTGTGACAAGCAGATTGTATGCACTTAATAAAGGCCAGGAAGAGTGAATTGAATTGAGTGGCACTAAACACAACTGAACTGAGTGAATAGGGCCTTCTGAAGACACCAAGTTCAGGACAGCATTGTTGCTTCTCTTCAGTTGCTTCTCTTTAGTGACTGGTCCAGAGATGGAGCTAAAATGTCAATATGATTGCCAGTTAATTCTGGTCCTTTCATTTAAGCAAGAGGGACTCCATTTCCCTCTTGCCACAGGTGTATGGTTTGGCAGGCAATGTGATTATTACTGGCAGATAAGGATAAAATTACCACAGTTCCAGTCTGTCTGGAGCCTGGCAGTGGAAACTCCATAGTTACTTGGGTACAAAAGACACTCAAGCTGTGTAAATGACCAGATGTTACAAGAAGCTGTTTTTTAGCAGCAGAGACACTGGAAAATTCATCTTCAGAAAGGGTCCCCTTTAAAAGAACAATGCTGAAGCACTTTGATGATTTAGCAGCTCATTGGCTCTATAAAAACTTCTGAAATGTTCTTTTCATAATGCTAGTTACACCTTTTAGTCACCATTTGGAGTCAGTAAGAATAGAGATGAGAGTGGGTACTCTGTATGAATGAGAAGATTGTGAAACACAAATACATTAAAAAAAACAAACAAACAAACCTTTGACATGTCAGAACTACTATGACCAAAAGATAAAGGACATGTTTGAAAAATATTCACAACAATTATCATAGACCTACTCTATAAAGGGTCCCTACAAATTGACAGTAAAATGTCTAACAAATAATAGACTACATTAAGAAAAATTTTTTAATAGAATAGAATCAAATGACCAACAAATAATAGAATATATTAAGAAACTAAATATAATTTGGGCAAAGGTGTGAAAATGTATCGCCGAATACATGGGAAAAGAACGGTGCTTCTTTGCAATTTTACTGTAAATAAATGATGCTTATAAATAAATGTAAATAAATAAATGCTTAAATGTAAATGAAAACTGAGATGTGAAGGCTCAGTAGATGGCCAAGTGAAAAGTGGAGAAAAACAATAAGCATAGATATTAATTATTAACAGTCACTGAGTACTGAGTGCCTTTTAGGTTCTGTTCCACGTGTCATGCATGCTTAACAGATATTATTACATTGAGTCACCATATAACTCTCTAAAGTAGGAACTATCCCCATTTTACATATGAGATTCAGTAATTTACCAGAAGTCACCAAGTGATAGAGCCGTGACTTCAACTCTGGAAGTTAAACCAACTCTGAATTTGGCAGACTCTCTTGGAAGGGAACTCTGCAGGATAATAGCCAAAAAAGCAGAGAATATTTACATAGTAATCAATTTAACTTTGTGGGGTCATAGAGTCACCAGGATCCT